GATGATCTTTTCGTACGAAATTCAGCTCGTTGATCTCGAAGTTGGGTGTTTACTGAATCTTTCATTCGGCTAAGCAACACTTTGTTGAAAACGTTTTCTGGTGCTGATGGTAGTTTTATGTCTTTATAGTTCTCATACTTACTAAGATTTCCGTTTTTCGGCACCTTAATGAGGTATTCCACTTTCGATTCTGCCGATACTTGTTCTTTATCCCAAATCTTTATTAAGAGAATGTGGAACATCTTTCCAGTTACCTCTCTGTTTGGATTCAGTGCTTCGATTGGCATGGTGTCTGGTCCTACTGCTTTTCCATTGTTGTTTTACTAATGGCTTTACTGAACTCTTCGATTGCTGGTACAATAACATCTATAGGAAAGTCTGTGTATGCTACTTCAGTATCTAATGGCTTTATTTGGAATGGTTTATTGAATAACTTTTCGTAGCGCTCTACCCACTTGTTAATCTTCTTTAAATCCTCACTAACTAATTTTCCTCCTTTATTTTTGACTAGTTGCTCTGGTTTACTGTATTTCCCTGCTAGCTTAATTGTACCTCATAGTTCTTTCTTATTCCTTTTTTGCCAGACCTTCCGCACATTAGCTCATCTTCACTCGTTTGTTTGTTTCAGCATATTCAACCAGTAATTTGTTTCCCTCTGTTTCTTTTTGGTGTTTTTGACTTTTGCTTTCCTACTTCTCGGCTCCTAAATCTTCGCCAGACTATCAATAGTGATCCATTCTTTATGCTGGAGTCTCTTTTGGGCTTAGTGCCCACTGACATATTGAAGATAATGTTGTTCTAATACATTCCAAGTTGTGTTACATGGTGATTTCCTCTTTTAGTAGATCGTGTAAGACTTGGAACTTGTTGTCGAGACCAATCTTGGACTAACTGAGCTTATTACTATCGTAAAGGATGGATGTATTAAACTTTTGTAGTGCTACTTATCCGACTATCTAGTGCTTCTTTAGCTTCAGAGTTACCTTGAACACCATAAGGTGACGATTTGAAGCTATATCATCTCTTGTACTTTTTCTTACGTCTCCCATGTTTTTTATTTTATTGACCGATCGACCTGTTTCTCTGTGGTGTGGCCCGATAAAAACTTAATAGTTCTTGATATGTATTTATGAAGGAAAATATTACCACCTAGGATCATGTTATCGAAAGCATACGGATTCGCTGGTACCTTTCCGCTCTTGTTTCTTTCCCTCAGTACATATCAACCCATGGTGCTCTCGTATTCAGTGTTATTCACCCTGATTTTGAAGTTCACATCCTCATCAAGATGGTTGTGTCTTTTCCTTGGCAGTTCTTCAGGATGGACTGCAGCCTTCCATAGAACTGTTCTCAATCATTTTCGTTATCATCATTGATGAACGAGTAGCACTGGGTTACGCTCGTCGTAATATTTTCTTGATTTGTTTTGGAAGGTACTATTATTGTCTTTGGGCCGTCAGTTTACCATCCAATAAGAGCTTATTGTTCTTTTACGGAGAGTATCAGTGTAACTTCTAGTGTGTGAGGGAGAATTTTCTTCTTTCTGACTAAAATACAATATTTTTCCTGAAATTAATCTTTTCTGTCCAGATTGTATTGAATGGATTGCATCTATTCCAAGCACTGTCAGGTTGTATCCTCTCGTCTTGTTCGCTTTTCGAAAGACCTTTTTTTCCTACGTTTTTCGTGCATTCTATATGCCTATGATTATTGTTGCTCTGGTTGTCAAAAGTGGCGTCTGGATTATGGTTTTCATAGGCTCTTGGCTTTCACCATGAGGTGTCATAGCTTTTTTAAATGAAAACCCTTCAAATGTTAAGGCAGTTTTCCTCTGGTTAGGGTATTTTAGAGGGTTTCTCTTTTATTAGATGAAGTTGTTAACCCCACACATATCCTTCTTCAAATACATGAGCTTGAGACGAATAGTAATCCTAGAGGGGCTCCATACTGTGTAATGTCTGATCAACTAATATATAATTATGGTAGAGAGTGAAAAAAGTTGACAAATCATATAATCAAAGAAGGGAGATAGTAAAGAGTTATGTGACCAGAACAAGGATGGACTGACTTCTTTTTTAAAGGTATTTATGGCTTCATATACTTTAATTTCTTATGTTCCAAGAAGGCTTGAGATTTTTTACTGATTACCAAGTAAATGAAATAAAATTAGAACGCATCTGAACTAGAATCCAGACACTAACGTTTTAACACTGACGAATAGCTTACTGATACGTGGCTTGACCTAACGCCAAAAACCAATTTCTAGAAATGAATGATTTACTAAAAATCTTCCAAATAAAAAGCGAAGTTTATGTAAACTCAGAAAAATAGTATGCTTCTGCAAAATATAGATTAATGATCTTAGTTCTTTCACCAAGATGATGTCAAGGTCGAGTACTTTAAGAGACTTTAGAATTTAACGAAATTGTTATCTTTTTTAACACCGGTAAATATGCCAAAAAATGATCTTATTAGTTTACCTGTAGTAACTACAAATAAAAAAATGTATAATCTAACATTTATTTACTATTCTAAATTATTATACCTGATTAAGCTGCACACTACATAAGTCCGTTTTAATATATTTAAAACGCTCGGAATTGAACTACTGTGTGCGTCAGATTTTGATCTCCAGAAAACGTGTCTTTTACTTATCTACTGACAATTATTATTGTTGATCATGAAATATAACTTTACGATTTTCCGTTAACTTGGTCTATTCATTCGATATAAAATAATAATAATAAAATAATTAGTGTCGAAGTATGATCTAGCGGTTTTACTAAATAGGTTGGTCAGTTTAGTTTGATTGGGACTAGGATTTGTGATAGGATATCAGTCACTGCACAATAATTTGCTCATAAGTAGATCTCTCTGTGACTGATAATTTGTACACTTTTATTATTTTGATTTTCGGAAACTTGCTATTTTTCCGATACAAGAATCGATAAACCCTGTGAAAAGAATTCACAAATAAAATAGACTATATTGAAATCATTTTTCATCTCTCCTTTACCGTCGGGTTAATAAGCACTTTGTTCAAAACTATCCACTTGTGATCGCTGAAAGAAGTTTTATGAGAAAATTAGCAGTTTGATAAATAAGGGGATATTACCTACACTTGTCTATGGCTTCGATTAACTTAGTCAAAGTGGATCTATTTCGAGTGAACCCATCAATGGTATATATGAGAAAGGCCAACCGGGAGAAACAAACCGACTTTTTCAAACAGACACTTCAAACCAAATAGATTACTTCACGTCCAATAAGATAATAAACAATTGCCGTTCTAAACACCAATGGGAAGATTCAAACAAACAATACAAAACGAATCTATATTTTAGTGTTGTTTCGTTCCATTCTACAGATTTCTGAACTTCTTTATACACAAACCCATTCTCCAGGTATTTGGATACGATCCACACTCCAATTGTGAGGACTGATAATACCACTTGGCTTACTTAACCGAGTTGTGTTGTGGGGCTCGAACCCAGGGACCAATAGCCGAAATTCGGACACCTTAATCACAAAGCCATCTCTTCACAAACGGTTGGTGCTTACAAATGAAAACGTAAACAATCGGTCAATTTTGCAGACTCTGAATAGAATGATTGGTACATGTTAATAATTGAGACCGTTCTACTACTTTGTGGAAAAAGATACAACAGATCCCAAATTCTCGTCAAGATATGATAGGGATAGTAATCAGATTTTCTATTTTGGTTTTTGAGATACACATTAGTCACTATTTGTTTACGGAAATTTCAATGTGTTAATATCGTTTACACAAGATGAATTCGACAGAAACGGTCAATTATGTTGCATTATGCTAGAAATGTCGAGTTGTTATTCATCATTTAACTGTTTATGACAATCAAGAGAATTCCAGACCATTATTCAAATAGATACTTTAATAATTTAAAGACAGCTCGATAGTTTTGCGACAGAATGAACTTCCGAACGAAACGCAACACATCCTACCAATTACAACAATTAGAAGTATGGTTAATGTTACTTCATTAATTGAATGTAGAAAGGATTCAATGATCTTAATAATTGACACTCATAACGGGATGTATGTACACTAAAAGATGGGCTAACTGACATGTATAGATGATCAACAACTGACGTACGCCACTGAAATGGACTTACTTAAGTTCATCACAACTGTCGACAAGTAATCTTCAATTTCATTCAAGAGCTGCTTACCGTGAAACTCTCTTAATACATCATTAAAAACCTGACGATCAACAGTAATCTTATCCATTCCCATATAAACAACTACTATTGTTCCAACTTAGATCGATTTACATCACGACACATCTACTTAGGCCTAATATTTTCTAAATTGTACATATTGGTACCTTATATATTTGCATTTAATTTATCTTGATTTTATTCCATAGAACTGTTTTATTTTCAAAATGTCAGCTGAACATTTCAAGCTTTATCTTTAGACTTAAGAGATCGTGTGTCCGTTGGATAAAATGAAGCCATTCACATTCGGAAGTATACTACCAGAGCTAATCAATACTCGACTGACACATTCCGGGACTGCACAGTTTTCGCCTCAGCATTAAGTCACAGTTCACACAAAAATACTTTGTTCAAATTAGAGTGAAATAAGTTTTAAAAGTGTAATTTAGCGAGTAACTCGTAGGCCTCGTACGTTTTATTGATAGGAAAAATATGAAGTCCACTCAGTATTACTATCTAGTGACAAATACTTTTCCCGACCTGTGATAAACCTTAGCTAAAATTAGTTTGAAATATAATGGAACATTGAATCATTACATCGCATATAAGGTGTGGACTACCAAAGGTCTGTGGGAATGAGATAGAGCTGTTCATTCACAATAATAGGGTATTCGAAGGCCCGATTTACAAAATTACTTACATCCAATAGCTGTCATGATACAATTATCAAAACAACTCTCAAGAGGAAGATAATATACCTGAAGATTGACCTCTGCAATGATGTTGGAAAACACTAAAAAGTTAAAATGTGCAATAGCTATGTATTTAAACGAATACGAGACAAAAGCCAAATTTAAGCTTACATTTTGTAAGGAAAAATAGCATCATTTTACATTGTAACTGTTATTATTTACGCATTAAGGATTTACTTTTTTCCAAAAAAAATTATAAGTTTTAGAATAAAGAATGTACGGTGGTATTATCACATAAGTAAAAAAATGTGTACACAAAAATTTAAACACAAGGTTCCAACAGTGGAAGCCACATATTGAAAAAATGCTCTAAATAAAAATATATTGGTCAGGGGTAAATATTAAATTATCCCTCATAACACATAGGAGTACTAATAAATTTCAAAAGTGTCCTGATAGTGAGTCGCATTAGATCACTGTGTTGTCTGAAATTACTGGAAACTGTTTAATAATACGTTTAGTGAGAAAGTTAATTAAATACAAAGAGAAAAAAGAATCTTTAGTAATTAGAACATCGGTCATCCAACTGATTGAAGTGGGAATATAATAATTAACACATAACTCAAACAGAAGTGGGCTGAGTAGAGAAATCGGAGGATGTATTTGAAGGCACAGAAGCTGATGTAGAAGGAAGTCTTTTGCGATAACCAAAAAATCCATCAGGAACTTCAAACTGATAAAAAAAATAATAAGAAAACTCGTGAATTGTGCAGTTTTGTGGAAAAGGCTTCGTTTATTTACTCACATACAACGAACATTTGAAGTTTTTATTTTTCATTTTAAACAACAGACAGTACTACTCTTCATGAACCAAGTATGTCAGTTTCAATCAGGAGCAGGCTTATTTTAGAAAGTCAATTTTACAAACTTTAGATGTTATAATGATAGTTTTCTTTGTGAATAGCTAACTCTACCCTGACAGCTCTATTGCATAGTAAAAACATATTTGTACGTTATAACAAATGGACGGAAATTATAACTAATTAAAGTGTTATACAGTTAAAAACAGAACATAAACAGTATAGAAACAAGTAGCTTCATTTGCCACAAGATTTTTTTAACAATCTGTAGACTTTATAATAAGAGGAACTAGGTTATACAAAATAGAAAAAAATCAAACTGTAGATAACTTACATTGACACGAAAGTCTTCAATAGTCCTGTACTTCTGTAGTAACTCTTTTAGTGCATGGTTGACTTCTACTTTGCGTCCACTGTAATGTAAGAAAGCCCAGAATTTTTCCAACCCATATAGATGTCCGTTTTTGTAGTCTCTCAAGGCTTGTTCCTATAGGGTAAATGAAAACTACGGGTTAGCAAGCGGAAAGTGAAGAGTGCAAATGTCCAAGAAACGTATTATATGCATGTGTGAATTCGAAGGAATTACTTGTACACGAGACGTAATATGATTAAGCCGATTATGACATATAAAGTTATTTTGAAAGTTTGATATGTGACAATAATGTAAAATAGTTTCCTTATGAAGAAGTTGAAGCAGTGTTCAAAATCATAAAAAGGTAAAAACAGATATGTAAACTGCACTACAAAATTTACCTGGAAGTCCTTATAAAGCGACCATTTGAAACGACGTTCCAAACCATACGAGTAAAATCGAAACAAGCATTCCAATCCATATCGATAACCAGATGCTTCATCTTCGAGAGCCAACCGTTTGAATTCCTTGTACATACCATGAAAGAAGTTGTCTCGTAAAAAGAATGACCAGAACCTATACAATGTATTCATTTCTTGTGACTGTCCTGCACCTGATTTTTCACGATCTGCCAGACAAGCAGCACGATATCGGAAATACTCACGAGATGCTAAACCGCTAGCTCGAAGATATGATTGACTCATATGATTTCCGAAAGTATAAGGAGTTTGTTTATGAACAGAAAACTGGGACTGGTTAGTTTTTACGGGTTCATTTGGTACGAAACTTGGCTTATTATCTTCATCAGTTGCATGTTCGGTAGTTATGATCACAGTAGTTCCAGATGTACTAACATCACTAACAGAAATACGATAAAAAATTGTGGTAAAAAAATCTACTAAAAAAGTACAAACGTAACGTTAAACGAATGGGGGTAGTACATGTTCAATTTATTCACAATCAAGATAATTTATGTGAAAGTGGTTTTGAGTAACAGACAATATAACAAACTTGGTCTGTCATTACTACTATGATTGAAGATAGCCGTGGGGCATGAAACAACTGAGGTGGTTGTGAACTAAGCAATAAGAGTATTCAGAGAAATACATTTATTAAGGATAATTGTTGTACTTGCAATATTGAAAAATGAAGCAACTCGACGTGAGTCACTTCTGTTTGAAGTATGACTTTCCACTTGTAAAGAGATGTGATATAACATGTATTTTTGTACTGAACTTCAAACTTAGCTTTTTGTATATGATAACATAGCTATATGATAACATTGTACCGTCGATAAGTTGGTGGACAGACAATTGTTTGACGATTGAATTAAAACGAGTGCCTAAGTCAATGGGCTACAAAAAATATAAATATGCTTAGAAATATTTTTAACGCCTGCATTAGAAGTGTGTATATTTAGGATTACTGAAGTTACTGAGAATGATACAAGACCAGTCTTAACATCGATATACACCAAGTACATTTACATCTTTATGTCTAAAAAAGAAACTGATACAGGTATTATTCGATACTAGATATTTTGTTAAAAATGAACTGGTTTTGTGCAACATTGCTTTCACGAGTCAAATAATGAAAAAAACAAGTGAAGAGTATGACGGATTGATAATTTTACGTGCAAAAATGGATTGCCGATAAGCAATATATCAGATTTACATTTGCTTTTAATAGAAACAATAGCTTGTGTTTTACAGTCGTTTATAGGTCAAAATGTTAACCAGACCGTCAATTATTTGTTAGTACATATCCTACAAAACGAGCTGAGTCAAATAACAAATATTAAGCACGTTTCTTTCCGAAAATTCGTTATCGAAAACAAAAACTAAAAGTTCTATATAAAAAGGATTGAATATCGTCAAAAACAGTCTAAACTATGAAGATGTTACTTAAAACTGATTTTCCAAGACTATATTGGGGGCTCAGTATATATAAAAAATAAATTATTCCTTGGGAAATACTAGTCATATACCTCGCCATGGATATTAGTGTCTTCGGAGTTCGATTACGACTGTCTTCAAGTGTAGTATATGAAGTAGGATTGCAGGTTTGACCTTTTGTGGTTCTGGCTGAAGGTCGGGCAGAAAGATCAAAGGCGAATCCGACATCTAATTCATCTCGTTTGCTAGCACCAGTAGATCCTACTTTTGCGGGATAGAAGCCGGTCATACGACGCTTTGCGGTATGTTTGTTTTTAGGTTTGTCAGTTATCATAGATTTTTGACTTTGAGAAGCGGATGCCACGGCAGCCCTTGAAACTTCAGCAACTAGAGCTGCCACTGCGTTTTCTGCTTCCAACTGCTGTTCAACTTGACTGGGTGTTAATGACCCCATATCTAACGAACATGGCAGTACTTCGGGATTGTAAAGTGGCAGGACAGGATATGAGGGAATCCATGAGGAACTAGCGACCAGTTGTGATGGTTCAGGAGGTAACACGTTAGGAAAATAAAAAGGAAATGTTGGGTAGGAATTTGAAACAGACTGAGTTTTAGTTCTTTCTAATCGAGCTGAATTCAAGTGTGAGTCTTCTAAGATGTTGACATTTTCATGAGAAACATAAATTGGCCGTTCGGTTGAACCGGAGGCAGCAGCTTCTTTAAGGCTGACAAAATCTTCTGGCGAAACAAGGTTGATCTGTTGGGACGAATAAACAGGGAAAATTAATCCATTTAATTAAATAAACCATTCATAGATTAACAGCTATATGAATATTAGAAGCACAGTTTATAGCACGTTAATAGATATAACACTGTTAAGAATGAGGTGTATAGTCAGGCGATTCTTTAGCGTCACTGTACTTTTTAATTCGAGTCAACTATGCAGGATAGAACGAGTTTCCTTCGTTTGGATACCCGAACATGACTTTAAAAATTGATCGCAAAGAGGGTATATATATATATATCGCTCGCTCATGACATAAATCGCATATCATAATACGTGAATTACCAAGATAAAATTTTAGTGACAAACTAGAAATGAAAGGTGAGATTATTTTCACATTACGCATTAACATCCAATCTTTGAGGACATATCAAAACTTTTGAGTATACGAGCGAAAAGAGATGAGATTGACAATATACGGTTTACTTCATTTGACCGATAAATTCCATAACACAAAACATGCTAGTGTTTGTACACTTATTAAGGTAATGAAGCTGATGAAAATTTTCAAAAAATTGTAAAAAGTGGGTATGATGAAATTATTTGATTCCGTTTTAATTAAATGAACTTACTTTTTCCAAGCGAGTTAGAGATTGACTGGATGACTTATCAGATAAAGGTGAGTTATTCGGTTCTTCAACATCATCTTCAAAACCAAGTTCACAAATAGAGGTGTAACGTTCGCGCTTCACATTTTGTTCATAATCCTCAAGTCCCAGTCGAATTCTTTGTAGCATGTCTGCATGAATCTTGGCACTAAATGAGTAAAAATATCTCAACTAAGTAGGGAAATATTATCAGTTAGAAAGCAGAAGACAAAACTGCAAATTAATGTGGTAATTGGAGGCAGTCGGTAGGAAATCTTGAATCTCGATTTCGTGCTATTAGGTACTGGTCAGTAAAGTGTGACTGTAATCTTGGGAGGATTTATGTTTCCTGGCATACTCGATTCGGTGTCATATACCTTCACAGTCAAAAATGTTACCACTGGACTATTTAGGCCGCAACTAACGTTCTGTGGAATTGTGATATATTTACAATTGACTGATCAGGGTCACTATTACTGAGCGACCATTCAATTACACAATGCAAAATTATATTCAGTAATTAATCAACCTCTCGAAGACTAAATATTTACTTTTGATCTTTCTTTTCATGAATAGCAGATTGTTGCAGACTAAAAATAGGTCTTTATCAACGGTCTGATTTCCCGTGGTATATCTTGTTTAATGGGTATCAACTTATGAATTAAACACGGAACTACATGAACTGCTAATGACACTATTTGCCTTCTTCCAGAAAATTTATTCGACGAGGCTCTAACCTGAGAACTGAGGATCGGAAGGTGAACGCGTTAATAACTGAGGATTTGAACCAGTCTCGTCTATACTAAACTCGAAACCAAACATTTGTAATTCCAATGTATGTGATTGAGAACTATAGCAAAGCTACTCAACTGTGGTTTAGGTCCTAAAAGTTATCATGGAAACATTTTATTTAGGCATCGTATAACTTCAGTATATTTGGGTCATCGTTGAACGTAGAATCCAGGACTTTCTTTTCGTCGGGAACTGACAACAGAATGCATAGGGATCTCAGTTTAAATATGTATCGAGACTATACAAGTTGCTTTAAAACCAGCTGAGTATCAAATACTAAAAAGCGCATGTCTCGGATTCTACTACTGGCTACAACCTAATTATGCTTGTAACTATGATATTTGTTCCGGATTTACATACACCAACAAAGACTGGTTAGAATCCAGTTCTGAATAACAACCGGAAAATACAAACTTATGAAGAACCGTCTATTATTTTGTAATAAAATGTGATATAAAACTAGAAATATTCCTAATTTTTGGGAGGTATGGACAAAATGGTCCCTTTCTTCGTATGGGTAGCATTTGTCAGCGATAAAACCGGGTTAAATATTCATGTGACGCATAGACAAATACGCATCTATTCACATAACTACGAGAGTACATAATGAGAAGTGACAAAAAATAAATGATACTTTATATCAGTAAGCGAGCTCAAAATAGGCCGAAAACATGTTAATATTCATAGGAACCAAAAAGCATGAATATGAATAAACATTTTTACACTATGTGAAACTACTAGTTTAAAACTAATACCATACTTATCGTTACTTCGCAACAGATATCGCAATAACGTCTGACATGATCAGACTAGAGGTCGAAAATACTAGCAGAGTAATAAAACATGTACATAAAAATAACATTAGTTACCGGGACTGATGATCCGGATTGGGGTGGCGATCACCAGACGGATGTTTAGCCAAAAGACGGGAAGAATTGGCAGTATGTTCAGAAGATGTGTATCCACTATGCATTATTTGACTCTTGTCAGCTGTAGTGTTACAAGGCGTAGTATTTAATGAACCGGATTCGAAATCGGCTTTCTCAATCCACGATTCAGATGTTCGAGATGGCTTTGATACATGTGCTTTCGCGTTAAGAGTGCTTTGATCAGAAGCGCGTCCACCCGCTCTTTCAGGAACAATGACAATTAGATAATTTAAAAGGTCATCTTCATCAATATCACTGAACTCAGAACACGAAGATTCGTTCCGTTGACGATGACTGGTTGTCTAAAAATTTAGGAATACGCACGAAAAAATAAACACGCTTTGAGCTACTATTACTGGTTACTCAAGTCCCATTGTTAAGAATTAGGATTATATAGTCATTAGGAATAACTTGATAAACCTAAAATTGCCCGGTATCATTATTGGTGGGACATCTGAATAACAGTAAAATCTGATAATTTACATTGGCGTATCATGACAACGCACGAAGACATCTGATTCTCATACGTTCGAGCTGTACAGACTTTCGACAAAATTGTTTAACAAGAAGAAGTCCATGTATGGAGATTTGGATCACATTTAATGTGTCAGGACTAATGATACTATTTGACCGCCCAGAGTTAGCATAGTTTGACTAAAATTATGAATGGTTGTTTTTCACAAGCCTAAAAAGCCAAGATGGCCAAGCTCTGAAATAAACCAAAATTGGGTTTTAAGAATTACATAGTTTGTACCACGGTAAGTAAAAAGAGAATACTAAGAATATACTATGTTCATGGCCTAAAGGTTTGCGACAAGTATACCGTGTATAAATTGCACAACAAAATGTTGGCTGTTTCAGAAGATTTTAAGGTTCTTAATTAAAATGTAAACATGGTATTAAACTGGACAACACTTGCATGGAATGTTACACAGGACTTCTTACGCTTAACTTACAGCCACTGAACATCTGGAATCGGAGCTTTTCTAGAATCAGACTATCAGAATGGAACTAGATCCAGGGAAATATCAATAGCCGATTTAACGAAAACTCAGAATTGTGAGAAAAAAGGGGGTTAAGTTTTTATATAGTTGCGATCTTGAATCAATTGAGGCTAGACCATCATGGAACACCTGGATTTTAGATGTAAATTTTATCAAAAATATATTTGCGTTTGGGAGATTGCTCTTGTTTGTTATGCAGTATATTTTTTGGATGGAGTATTCCTCTCCACTCACGTTCACTGATATTACTGTAAAAACGGAAAACATTGTCTTTCTACGTTTTGCCTTTTGACTATCTGATAGCTTTTACTGCCCCCAAAAGCCAGGTGTGGGGAGAGTCACCTCTCCTCGAAATATTCTCATATGGTCAGCGAATATATAGCCTCTACCAGGGAAGTCCTACTCACTGCCTTCTCGTGGCGGGGGTGTTGTGTACGAAAGTGAGAGGACGAAAAGTGAATGTCTGGCGCTTTAACCGGGTTGGTGGACATGGAGGGTCCACCTAGGGGAGTTGGAAAACCCTGATTCCAAACCAGTGGTGCACATTGGCTTCAGTATCCTGAGGGAACAAATGGCGTACGAATCAACCGTTGATCACCAGCTACCATGGGACTGCATCTCCTCACGATGCTCCACTGCCTTGTGGAATAGACCTTTAGGTCAAAGGCTCCGGGTGTGGCCCCCTAAGATAACCACCTGCTTCAGTCTGGGCACCTGGGCAGTATGACAGCCCTCACACAAATCGAATGAGACTTGTGAGGCGCATATTTATCTGGTGCTTCCTTGTACCAATATTTATGTGTTTAAATAATATAAGCTTTTACTGCTGAATGCCAACAGTTTGGAAGAAAAATAATGTATCTCATCAACATGGACGACTGGTTTGATGTAGTCTGATTTAAGTAGGAATTAAGACCGATTTTGTGATAAAATTTGCAGATTTAAATATTGCAAACGCATAGTGTAATCTTCATATCAGGTTTAAAACATTAAGCGACCATACTCGTGGATTGTGATCCGTTGCCGATATTGGTTCAGTTTAACTACAACCGATTATTTCGATATCAAAACACAGAAAACCTTTTCTGAAATAACTAGTTATTTTGAAATTACCTGGAGTTAGTACATATACGTTGTAAGGCAAGTCGTGATATTTAGTTGATCACTGCCAGTCGATCTGCAGAAAACTATTGGTATCATACAGTATCAAAAAGACGAGCCACAACTAGGTTATTTGTTATATATATACCCCGTGAAGTCTCAACTGGAAGCCATTATTTCTATTGTCCACTCGCTACTGTTATTAAACTGGTGTTATCTTTATATATCAAGTACCGAGAAATTAACAATCGTTACAGAGTGAACTTTATTAAAGTTTAGAAGATTAGAAGGCGAATATTTAGACCAGACTAACCATGAATGAGCGTTGAGACTTGACGTCGATGAGGAATTTTTGGTTTTTAAAACAGACAGGAGAACCGATTTTTGACTGGGAACAAAACAAATATTTTTAAAAGTTAGTGTTAGTTTAGCTATCATTAAATTTAAATAACTATTCTACAATGGCTTGTTTGCATCCAAACCTCGTATTGGTAAAACTAAGTATAAGGCATGAATAGTATGTACGTGTATGGGGACGCCTAGCTTTGACGAAGATTTATTAATACACCTTGGAAAATTCGCAGTCTTACCGTAGTCACGGGGATGTTTGAATTGGTTGACAACAGAGTCTTGAGACGACTTCGTTGACGACGTTCCACCTTCATCCAATTAACATCGTTTATTTCTCCCGCGACGGTGGATGCTGAGTTTGTCGCTTCCATACTAGCAGTATCTGAAGGAGGTGCATCAGATGTGTATGTTGAGGAACTCAGTGTAGTGATCGAGGTGGAAATGGGTGCATGTTGAGTGAGTAGAACTGTGGATTCTAATTTTTGAACATATTTAAACTACACTCAACTTACCGACTGACACACCATAACTTTCAGACACAGCTAACCGACGTCTGATAAGTCCTTTATCAGCATCGATTTGTACAACACTGCTGTTACAACAAGCCTTGACAGTAATAAATTAGTGAAAGTGGTGTTACCTGAATAATAAGGTTTTTCGAAGCATCTAACTGCTTCATCCTGGGAAAGTCCAATATAACTTCTAAGGGTACGTATCCGTCAATAGTCATCTTTTCTTGAAGGTACCGGTCGCGGGTGAAGTTCCTATCACCGAAGTAGTATTCTATTTGATTCCTGATCCTGGAAAGCCTTTCAGATACACAGGCCACGCATTCATTTGTATCATAACTACACGGTTGGCTTTGGGAAACGTGGTGACGGTAGTGTGACAATACGCGGGGGTCTAAAATGAATTACAACAACCATTCACTTACTAAATCCGGGCCGGGGCACTAAGCAGCATAGCTCTACTCCTGCAAAATTTGGGTTGACGTAGAGACACCATTGAGATTTTGAGCAGTTGCTTTGAAACTTTCTGATATTGTCCAGATTTTCACTCTTTGCAGGTTCGGCGCGTTCAGTAGCCTCAAATGTGTCCACCTCCTTCAAATCCTTATAAACATGATACCCGTTTTCTGGAGGAAGGTTGCTTTCTGAAGGAAGCGAACTTTGAACTTTGGAAAAAGTAAGCTGAACAGGCAGATCTTCCCACTTTTGTTTGGATTTGAGTCTAGTAACAAACTATTTAAAAATATAGGAATCATTAAGACATACTCTTTTAGTACTTCCCGAATTTTTGTTCAACTCATTCAAAGCTGGCCACTCGTTATCCACTATGTGAAGACCATTCAGAAGTCCCTCATTCATTGCAGTAGTTTATAATAACTAATTTGAACACGGTTTTGGCTTTGTGATCGATTCAATATCATTAGAAAAAAACGGCGTGGCGACACACCAACAACGTACTACGCGCTACTAGAACAAGGTCCCAAACGGCCTTTAAGGTCACGAACAGTAGCTGAATTAACCTGACCATTCCCCTATTCGATCTATTTCCCCTCCGAAGCCTCCCTAGATTGTAAGGGCTTCGACTCATTGAAAATCGCATATGACCGAAATATAAGGGATCTACTTTCATAGTTCCCTTTGCCACCAAGTCACATCTATGTGTCTACTTGGAAATTTCATATGCACTGTCAATTGTGATCTGAAGTTCATGAAATTTTCTATGTTTCTTCTGAAAATTTTTGAAAATCTAGGGTTGATTATTAGGCGTCCGGAGATCAAAGAAGTATGAAGTGGATAAATAAGTAAGTATTAGTCTGGCCTAATTAGTTCTCATGTATTAGGCTATCTGTAGGTCTACTGACAAGCACCAGCGTTATTTTGATGACGCAAATTCTACACTCTATATTTGTATACAATTATCACCCTATTAATTGTGGAAAATCTTTGTCAGAAAATGTGTATTGGCTTCAAGTACGTATCATCCTCTCCCTTTCATTGAGTACTTTTCAATGAATTAACTTTACCGATCAAAAGAGACAAAAGTTGATGCCCATTCATAGTTCAGCTGTTTTGATCATAAATCCAACGGAATTATTGAGATAAAACTACCTGAGAAGTAATAGAAATAGTTAGATAGATATCTGTTCCCGTTTGTGAGCTTGATGATAGTAGAGTTTGTAAAGTCACTGGCTGAGAACTCACTTTCGAAGGCTGTATATTTATACCCGGTATCATCTATTATAGCCAATTTTGCTATGCTGACGATTTTATTTTAGAGCACGTTACAGTACGGAAAAAAGTAACGGAATTATGATGTCAGGATATTTTAATGCACCTACTATTAGCGGGATAGAGGTGGCCTGAAAACTTTTAATGGTAGGCTCCTGACGACTATAATGGAGCATACTTAAGAACAACGAGTTTCCGAATCCATACGTCTTGGTTTGAACAAAGAATCTCTTTTTTTAGACTTAGTAATCACTCATGAAACCGAGGACATTGCCTATTTAGTTAGCAAATAGAGATCATGTTTTGTCATTCATGTTTAGGACTACTGGCACAGTATATGATCAGGTTGGACCCTGCCGAAATATATTAGGGGTGAACCTAACGGTCATGTAAGAGTATGTTGCAACAACGCATTGGTCAGTAAATACTACCCCATCAATGAGAGAAGCATGATATATACTTATGGGTGCAATCAGCTCAGTTACGTCCCGGTTTATACCATGCTTAGGAAATCAATTCACTCCCTAGCCAATGAAACGCACCTGTCCTTCAAGTCGCTCCTGACTGCCATCCATTAGCCTTCTCGTTAGGTTACTTCTGATTGGCTTACCATATCAGTCAGACTATCATATGAAAAACAATTGGTTGGAAATTATGAAAATAGTCCGAAAAGCATGTTCTTATATTCCACCACTTTTGGTACGAAAACATCCGTTACCTTGGCAAGAAATGATATTGCAAAAGTTGAAGCCTTATCAGAATATTTTGGCAGAGTGTTTTATGCCGACGACAGTAAAAGACTAACAAGTAATCAGAATGGTGGCTTGTCGATTAATCTAGCGATTATTGAGAAAGGAACCGTCTTACTATTTCTTGAATATCTCGGACCAGATAGGTTTAGTTGCTCTTACGGTACTCATCCTGTGATTATGAGAGCCCTGACGGATGTCATCACCGAACCACTGACGATTCCGGCTGAAATGTCTTCACGGAGGCCTAAACTATCAAGAGACAGGATGGATACTGCTATCGGGCAGGTTTATAGAGCAGGGAGTAGAGGCTTGGTTAGCAACTATCAACCATTTAGTCTAATCACTGTAGTCATCAAACCAATGGAAAGGATTATTTAAATAGCTATTCGGAGTTGTATGATAGAGAATAATGAGGATGCCACAGGTATTGTAGTTTGACAACACTTTGTCAGTAACACCTATAATTGAATCGTGCCCACCCAGTGATATCAAGAGTCGGAAGCGAGGATGTTCGAGGATATATTTGGTAGATTATCAATATATCAAGGAATAACTGTCTAGTCCGTCTAGTGATAGCAGGAGAAGTTGAGCACGGCGTTCCCACTGGTGATCTGGTGCGGATGCATGACCGATCGCCTTCAGAAAGGTGAGTCCATTAAAACTAATATGGTCAGCATCTAATGTTGAACACTTACAGAGCCATTGATTTCGGGGATTTATTTACCACTACATATCACTTCCCCCCCCTAGTGAGGCAGTGATGACCCTACGACGTGGCCAGCCAGAAGTTTAAACCCAACAACGATAATGAGGAAACAAAGCACAATGAAAATTTCGGTTCCTCGTAAACTTCACCGTTCTTTTTATCATCTTTTCCAGCCGTCCTGAAAAAGAAAAAATATGTAAGTGCATGTCGAAATACACTCATACGCGCGTAAAGACACAAAGCGGGCGGGAAAAGGTAAATAAACTCACACAACTGCAATAGCGTAAAAGCAACTTTCAGAGAACTGCATTGCTTGGGTTTTTTGAAGAAGCGAAATTGAATATACATATGCTAAGATAAAAAAGGTTTGGGAATACGTTTATAAGTGTAAGTATATTAATTTTATTATATATATTGCAAAGGAAAATTGAGATAAGGTGAAATGTCATCTAGTGTCCTACGTGCAATAGTCGTTTAAATGTTCTGGAAATCTTAATCTTCTTCCAGAACGCGTTGTTTTAACTTTATTTTCAGATACTGCTGAAGTACTAACGTGCGTGTTAGCTGTCGGATGAGGTATTACAAGTTCAGGAACCGTGTCGTTTGATTGTGCCAAAGGAAAATTGACGTGGATAAGATTTCCACCTAAATACGCTGCTTTTATGCGACCAATGCTGATGCTATGGTTAGTTCCGTTCTTATAGGCTATATAGTACGTAGGTTCATGCTGAAGATCTTTGAAGAATACTTTGTATGCTGTTTCGAGAGATCGTCGATGTCAGTCTTGACGTAAGAAGACATGTGTACTGTATCGTATGCCAGGCTGAATGAAAACATCAATTGATTTCAATCGAGTGGAAACAGTTTTAACTGAACGCATTGCGTTTGTAAGCCTGCTCGTGTAGGAGTTTAGATCCATGTTCATTGAAGAAGACGAAGGATCCACGAATTCTCCTGGGAGTCGGAGTGTTGATCCACAAACGAGTCGTAATGCAGTATTGTTAGTGGGACACAGATTTGATTAAAGCATGTTTCATGCATGATGGTGTTGCTGGGCGCTGATTGGCTAATTCCAAACCAATCAGCCCTGGCAAATTATTGGAGAAAAATCTAGAAGCTTCTTATGTATATACTATAAATATATGAACGTCATTCAAAATCAGTGATTGCTGTTCACTTACGATTGTTATTTTGAATACAATTTCATTCCTGTTCAAGGTGTTCTGATTTTGGGGCCTTGTCGAGTGTCATTGGATAAGAATACTAAGCAATAGGAATAGCTGGGTCGTTTATTAGCAAAATACAATTATAACAAGTGTATCGAACATCAGCTTTCACTGCATTACGGATACCTAGTAAGATGAGCGGAAGAGCGTCTGTCCACTATGAAACGTTGGTAGCTGATAGTGAAGCTTTTGGTTGTCGATAAAAACATTCTACCAACCCGTTTGCTTGTGGGTGGTAGGCGGTCGTTCAGAAGCGAGTGATTCCTAATAGTGAGGTCAGACAACGGGAACGTCCGGATTCAAACTAGCGTCCGCGGTCTGTATTGATGGTTGAAGGGCAGCCAAAATTTGCTACCCATCACTCGACGAAAGCGCGAGCCACTGTTTCAGTAGTAATGTTCTTAGTAGGTACTGGTTTTGGCCATCGAGTGAAAATGTCTACGCTGGTTAAAAGATAAGAGTATCCATTTGAATCTGGTAAGGGTTCTATCAAATCCAGATGAGTATGGTCGAAACGGGCATCAGTAGTTTTGAACGAGCCTAAGGGAAATTTGTTGTGTCTAATCACCTTAGATTTCTGGCAGTTTACACAGGAGCGTGCCCACTCCCTCACGTCTTTATTCATACCATGCCAGCAAAACCGTTCTGCTATAAGTTTGATGGATGCACGAACACCTGGATAAGAAAGATTGTGCAACGTATTGAAGACGTTGCGTCGATAATATTTTGGTACGATTGGGCGATCCCTAACTGTAGATGTGTCACATAGTAAGGTTTCCTAACCGGTTCCCATCTGTTTTACGTACATTGTTTTCTCCAGAAATGTGTTGTGTATCTGCATTAAACTGCGAAATGTAGTCCAGTCGTCGAGACTCGCGAGGTGATGAGCTTAAAGAAAACGTAATGGAATTTTGTGGATCTTCTGCCTTCGATAGAGTGTTGAAAATGCCGTACAGCACAATACATAGCCAGGAGTTCCCTACCGAAAGTGCTGTACTTCGATTCAGTGTCTAGCAACCGTCTCGAGAAAAATGCTAAAGGTTGTCAAGAGTGGTTAACCCATTGTTGTAAAACTCCTGCGATTGCTGTGTTTGATGCATCTACTACGATACTAATGGGCGCTTGAGTGTCCTGATTTGCCAGCATTGTTGCATTTACGATAAGTTCCCCAACTGTGTAGAATGCTTTTCTCAAGGTATCGTTCACATTGATGGATTCCGCATTTCCACGGAGTTGGTCAGTTAGCGGTTTGATGAGGGACGCGCATTTCTGTATGAACCGTCTATAGAAACTTACAAGGCCGTTAAATGTGCAAAACTGCTTAATGGTAGTCGCTTCTAGGTAATCCGGAATGGCCGCCAGTTTGCCATTTAGCTCCTAAGAGTTTGGATGCCTTGAGCATCAGTTATGTGTCCTAGGAAATCTAAGAAGTCGGTCCCGATTTGGCATTTCTAAATGTTCACAGTTATGCCATACTTTCGCAGTCGTTGGAACACAATACCCAGATTCTGGAGATGAGATTCTCCGTCTGGACTTGCCATCAAACAGTCATCAACATACGCGTACGAAGTTGAGACATCGGAAAACGTCATCGATGAGCCTTTGGACGGGCTGTTAGTTATGTCCATAACTAACCAATCAAATCGTTGCTTAAGCTCCCACCACTTTAACATGGTCTGATATGTCTGTAAACTATCCCTGTTGCATGTGACTTACCAATTGAAAGACATTATTATCCTATTATATTAGTGT